ATCCCCACATCGTATGACCCCTTCTCAGCCAAGCTCACCCACCTGGAGGGACCAGTGTCCCAGGTGACCCTGGGCTGGAGGAGGCAAACCCAAAAGACCCTGTATCTCTGTGTCCAATAAACTTCGTGCATCCATATGCGCCTGAGTGGTTCTTGTAACCAGATGGGATGGTTTGAGGTCCACCAGAGCCTCCTGTACCTCCCCACTTTTTGGACCTGCACCCTTGCACTGAGTCAGGGTTCACACTGAAAGACCCTAGGTCAACTCAGCAGGCCTGAGGCCCCAGAATGAGGCCAGCATCCAGCCACAGCCTGTCTCAAAGCACCTAGGGGCCTGCAGGAAGAGCTCGATGTGTGTTGACCAAGCTGGTGGGGCCTGGCTTTGCAGTGGTCCCCTGTAACTGTATTTGAGTAGGTGCCATTGTCTCCTGTAACTCTCCAGACCTCCCAATCCCCAGCCACATCTTCCCTTCCCTTGTCCTGTCCTGGGCACTATCCTCCCTCACAAAGCTAGGCTGCCTGTGTAAGTTGTAAGTTGTTACCACTCATTTTCATATGTGGTGCTCTCAGAGTTCATCAGTTTCAGACCAGCAGGAGGTACTGAGCCCCTCTCTCCCTAGCCCAGAGCAGGAGAGATCCAGGCTGTCTGCTATGTGTCTGTACACAGGGCCATTTAAGGGTCCATCTCAAGCCCCAAATTATTCATCAGGTAATAAGGCTCTGTGTCCTAAACCAGTAGGACAGGGAATTAGGGATGGGCCAAGTCCTAGCCTATGGGAGAAGAGGACAGGAGTTTCCCAAGATTGGAGCACTTTAAGAATCATACTCCTTACAGGCAGGACAAAGGCCTTGTGGCTGGGTTGGTGTCCCAGTCTCCCCACTGAAAGACTTGCCTGACTACAGAAGATGACCTGTTCAGGTTCATATCCCCCATTATTAGGAGTCTTTGCTAGGGTCACCCTCATAGACTCCAGGGAGTTTCCACTGTACTAGGTTTCCATATTCCATATTCCATAGACTCCCCCTCCCAATTCCAGTCGTCTCTCTGTGTACTCTCTCCCTCCACCCCACCCCTGGCTTGACCCTCCTCTCTTCATCCCCACAAGCCCCCAGTCCACCTGCAAAGTCCATTCTATTTCCCCCTCCCAGGGAGATCCACGAGTCCCCCCCTGAGCCCTTATTGTAACTTATCCTCTCTGTGTCTGTGGATTTTGCCATGGGTATCCTTTACTTTATAGCTAATATCTACTTATAATTGAGTGTATACCATGTTTTTCTTTCTGGTTCTGGGTTACCTCATTCAGGATGATTTTTTTCTAGTTCCATCCATATGCCTGCAAATTTCATGATGTCTTTTTTTTTCTTTTGAACTGCTGAGTACAACTCCATTGTATAATGTGCCACATTTTCTTTATCCATTCTTTGGTGGAGGCACATCTAGGTTGTTTCCAATGTCTGGATGGTATTAATCAGCCACAATGAACATAGCTGAGCAAGTGTTCTTGCGGTAGGATGGAGGGTCCTCTGGGTATATGCCCAGGAGTGGCAGAGCTGGGTCTTGAGGTAGATAGATTCCCAATTTTCTGAGAAG